TTTTGTCCTCATCTTCTCTCTGATGAGTCCAAGCAGCAGTGGAACTCTGGAAATTATTTGGTGTGACACAGAAACTGACCCTGCCCGTGGTTCATGAGCAGCTGTGCTTGGACAATGGGACACAATGGTTYTGCTCTGCAAGAACCTCTCTAATTGCAAACAGCAGAACCCCAACAGCTGCTTTGGGGCCACAGAAAGAGTCATGAAATCATGTCAGACTGCAAAAGGTGAGGTGATTCCGTGTGTGTCTGAAATGCTCATCCAGCTCCAAGCCTTGAAATGCATCATCCTTGTCCAGTTTTCCCGTGTAACACCCTGGATTTGGAGCTAAGGCGTGAGGAAAGCACTTAGCTACTGGGACAACAAAAAAGTGTCATTTGGGACTTTTTCCATGTCATTTTTTAGACATTTTCAGTTCATTTCAGTTCATGTCATTTGTAGGTTTCTTTATATAGCCAGCCATGGATACCAGTGTGGTATAAACAGTGTCTGAGTTTGGAGCTCTGTCTGACCCTGACACAGTAACTGACCACCTGAAAGGCTGAGATTACCATAAGTAATTRCCTTGGGGTCTGTTAGTGGATGTTTGTAATGTCAGCAGCCACAGCTGTGCACAAGGCTCCTACAAACTCATTCACACCGAGTGTGGAATCTTCCACTTGTGATCAATCAGGCTCAGGGCTCAGAATTCAGAGACTGTCATATTTCCACATCCAGGATTGCAGGTGCAGCTGCTGCCCTTCAGGTACTGAGGTCCATTTCCATCCTTCTTGTCACAGGTATTTGAAGTCAACTAAACAATTTGGGAGATGTTGTATTTGTATTTTTGCAGCTGGTTGTGGGCAGTGTTGGTGTCAGTAAGCAAAGGAGCAGAGGCAGAGGGAAGTTTGGGAGCGTGTGTTTATTGGGGTATTGGGAGTTTTCAGAAATTAATTGGGACTAGTCAGAAACAGGCACTCACCGGAGGGACCCAGTGTGAGCTGCAGATTATTTGAGAAGTGACAGCTCGCTTCTTTAATTCGGTAATTTTGTTAAAAGTCAAATTCTACCACTTGTCTGTACCTTTTCACACATAAGTGGAGCGCCCTTTCTTTTAAACACATTACTTTTTTCAGCACATTTGTTAAAATCTCTTCAAGTTCAACTTACGACCAAATATTATTTCCGTTGTTCCTGTGTTATCTAAAAGTCTTTTCGAGTTGTTGGCTTCGTTCACCAACCTCAGATCACCAGATAAACTTGGAATGGCATGGGAGAGAAGTGTCGACACCATGTTTGAAATACAAATGTTACATATTCCTCTTATATAAAGGGGRAAAAAAAAAAAMMCAGACCAAACCCAGCCCTGCTAAGTCTTGTGAGCCTGTCTTGCCATCTAGTGGCAACTGCTCGAGCTTCTTTCAGCTCAATCCACATAATTCCAAACTATTATTTTTAGCCTTGTTTGCTTGTAGAGCTGACCTAATGCTTCAGGAGAGCATCATTGCATAAGGCACATGAGCAGAAAGGACTTTATTTTCTTGCCTGGCATTGCTATTTTAGATAGATAGCTAGATATTGATAGATGCAGATGTATATGTATAAAAACAAATATATAAATCTATATGTGCATATAGAAATAAAATTACGTATAAACATACATATTTACATTTGTTATATATGAATAACAAATATATGTAGWTATATAACAAAAATAAATATATATYGAAGTTTATCATTTAAGTAGTGAGAATAAGTGGAGTCAGCAAATTAAAAATTAGTAATGTGCATCTCTTGCATTTTGAAGCAGAAATGGTGAATTAGATACGCATAAAAAGGAAATGGATTTGTAAGGTGCAGTGTAAGGCTGTAAATATCTGTGTAATGCACTATTTCAGTTCATACTTCATATTTACCATATTTACAGTAAAGTATGGCATGACACGTTGTTAAAAAATGGAGTTTGTGTTCCTGACCCGATAAATGCAGCGTTTTGTTAAAGCAGAGGAAGGAAGGAGGATGAGGAGGCAGGAATCCCTCAGCACCCTTTTAAGGTGAATTGTGCAGGGAGTGAGGATTCCCAGCTCYAGGAATTGCACAGCTGGAGCCAGAGCCTGGCTCTTTAAGTGGATTTTTCCCTCCCTGGCTTTATGTAATTTATGCTGGTAGGAAGAATTTTATTGTATTTTTGGAATCTTCTTGGTTTGTAAATGCATCCTCCCCAGTAGGGCAGTCTGGAAATACTGAAGTGCATAAATTTGTAGKTATAGGAATTACATCCAATTCTTTGCAGAACTGGGATATGCACATTTTGGTCCTCACCAGTGTCACACTGCATTTTAAAACATTTAATTTCTTAAAATTATTTTGACTGGTTAAAATTACTTTATTATTTTATTGTGGTTGCACTATATGAGAGAGTATTATCACCTTGAAAGATCTGTCAGTACTTTGTGTTTTGTCTTTCTCTTTGGTTCCTTTTCTCTCAGTATCAGAAATGAAGTCAATTTGTGAAAGGTAAGGTTATCCAGGATCTGCTGGT